ATCATTCCATGGGTTTTTGTTTGTCAACACTTTATAACTTCCCTACCCTGTCAGATAAATTCATTGGTTTCTGTAGAAGACGTTAACATTAATATAATTTATTTGTTTTGTTTTTAAGCAAATGCCACTCAAACTGGAGTAAATAATTCATTTTTGGAGGATATTACAACTGCAGATCAATACACATTTGTAGTTAACTATTATTTATGGCAGAAGGCCGGTAAGGGATGAGGGATGTAATCACCTACAGTGCCCATGTTTATCATAGTGAAGTAAAATGACTGATTAAGCCTTAGTAGATTTTAAACATCAATATCAGAGAGGAATAAGTTACTTGTATCACGCTTAGCTAACATAGTTATGCATTCTCCTTTAAGCAGAAGTAACAATTCCACAATGTAAAAATACCCAAAAGAAAGTCTTCCCAGTTTTAATTAATCCAAGAAACAGAAGTATTGGATGACAACCATAAGATTGCTATGTTGGGTTAATATTAGTGATGCATTCATGTTTAGGCTACTGTTGGTTGAACTGAAGCAAAGTAGATCAATAATCCTGTTTTTCCCCGTATGTATGTAGTTCACATAATTTACAAAACATTAAAACATCAAACAACAGCAACAAATCCCTATAGTGTATTCTTAATGATGTCCAGACACCAAGATTAAGGTGGCGTCCTTATTGAAGGCAAATCAAATCAAGACAATCACAGAAATGCAGATGACCTCCAAAGCCCCACACCACAACAAATCCACGGGTTGCCATAGCAACATGGCACAAAGTCCTAAGGGCACCACAGCCACAAACGTGTGTGTGTGTGAGACAAATGTGTGTGTGAGATAAATGAGCCCCCAAAGAACCTCTACTGAAACCACCAGCAAGCAACTTCACACTGTTCAACCCAACATGATGACAACAAAGTAAAAGTTCCCCAAACTATAACTCCCTTATCTCTCTCTCTCAGACGTTCTCTCTGCTGCCTTCTCGTCTTCCCTCCCTCCCCTCCTCACCCTTTGTTATTCCTCCTCTGGTCGAATAAACGCAACTCTTTGTAGAATCCAACTCCTGAGGTTTATCTTATTGGATCCGTTTTACCCATTTTTCAAAGAGCCCGTGTTTTTGAGTATGTGTTTATATCACACACACACACACACACACACACACACACACACACACACACACACACACACACACACACACACACACACACACACACACACACACACACACACACACTTTAGCTAGACTGGAGCTGTGTGTGTGGCTTAATTTAGCAGGTCTAATTTGTTCTCTCCAGACCTGTCGAACAGATAAGACGGAGGAGGAGAAGAGGCAGCCAGAGGAAAGGAGGAAGAGCGAGGCAGAGAGAGAATGAGCAGAAGCAGCATTGGAAGGAGAGAACAGGTGTCTGAGATGGTATCAGCATGTCAGCTAATCACTGAAACAACCTGAACTGAGAGCAGCAGACAGAGAGAGGCATGTGTGAGGTAGTGAGCTATGGAATGGACTGTGGTTGACTAGATAAAAAAGAATACATGAGGGGAAGCAAAAAAGTGTCAGTGTGAGATAAAAAAAAAAGGAGAGTGGAGTCACATGAAAGCATACAGGGAAATAAGAGTAAACCCTTGCCATGTCAAAATATGTGTGGGTCTAATTTTAAACCAGAGCAGCCACACTATGAACTCTTATCACGAGTGTGTCAAAATAAGAAAACTGTGTTATTTGAGGCAAAGCAGAGGATGTGAAATGCAGTAAAAATGGCGTTTATTGCTGCCGTTAATGACCTTTTGTGGCTGCTCTTTAATTAGAGGAGCATCGTGTCACTGCAGTGTATGTCTTTTCTCTCTCTTCTTACTAAAACTTTTCAACACATACAGAAATACAGGATAAATAGGAAGTTGTTAAAGTAATGTATTTAAAGCCTGATCAGTTCAACCCCCTTGATGAGCTGTTGATGACAGAGCCCTGATCTGTTTGGTTGAGGAAGCGGTGTCAGTAGAAGCCATGAAGATGAACACTTGTCTTGCTTGTCGTACATAAAGGCGAGTTATCGATGTTTGTGTTGTTGCTGCACTGTTATTGTTGTAACTTAACTGCTGAAGTGCCCATTTACACTTCATTTTCCTTTTCTTCATTTTTAGCCGATACCAAACAGCTTCAGGAGCATGCACACTGAGCTGGAGGTTTACGTAGACCTGCATGTAGCCTGGAAAAACCAAGACAAATAGCAATTAGATTTGTCATCTGACTTATGGAGACACATATATTACATTTTGTCCAAGTGTAAAGTATATTACAAATCCCAATTTTATTCATATTTAAAACACTTGAAATGAAATTGACAGCACATTTCAGAACAGGGCTAAATATCCTTGGACTTTTTTGTCCAATATAAAAACACAGTGCTCCCTCCAACAAATACATATGAGCATTGTCCACAGTCAAACAGAGGCCTTACTCAATATTCTGGTCACTGTTTCTGCCCTAATTCACTATTCTTTGATTCTTTCCAGATCTTGCTTTAAGCCGGTGTGATTTGTCTGCAGTGCAGGTTCAAATCGAGCAATAAGTGCTTCTGATTGCATAAGATAAAGATTTTAGGAACCGTTTGCTTAGAAAGGCTCAATGAAACCTCAAGACTGCACAAAAACATGATATTTATTGTGTAGAGAAGTTGCTCTCAGTTGATCTTTGTAAGGCTTCACAATTGTATAGATTTTGTATTGTGTTTGTTTGTCTCCCATATTGATTTTGGCTGTGTTGGATCATACAAGTAACAATAATGTATTTTTGATGGGTATTCAAGAGAAGTGCTGCTAGCCAGATGCAGCGGGAAATTACGATTGATCAGGAAATAGGATCCAAGCTAGTTCCCAGAATCCCATAGTCATTCAACATGTGTGATTCTCATACTGAATGGAGATTCCTCAGAATTTCACACAAAATGATACCAACAACACCCCATTGTGTGAGCATCTACTAACTTCAAGGTCCTTTGGCACTAAGATAGATAACCGGTCATGCGGAGTAAAAGTGGACAGGGATATGCTCTTGCCTTCCTCCCCATCTACCCCACACCTAACCCTCAGACACTGAAGTGTCCAACTGTACAAAATGGGGGTTGAAAAGGGCAGCTCCCTGGTGTCCCCTCCACTAGACTGCAACTGTAAATAACAATCTATTCCCTCACCACCGGAGAATATGGCAACCTCACCAGCAATATTATTTTTCAGCCTCCTAAACAAATATTATACATGATATTTTTTTCAAAGTTGACTCAAAAACAATTCAGCTACAGAATTAGCTTCTTAGCAACTTCATTGCGAAAGCACTAGGATGGGTTAAATGCAGAGGTCCAATTGCACTGTGTGTGCTGTGTGCATGGACATGTGTGTGACAAATAAAGAGGGTTTTATCCTCCGATTCTAATCTAATCTTCATAAAAAATCCATTTATGACTACTACATATCTAAATGCTACATTAACATGTATATACTGCTTGGTTTAGCAAAACTGTAAGCAGTGAATCTGAGGTTTAAAAGGGTTTCCTCACTCATAGCCTGTTTTGTCTGAAAACTCTGCTTCACTAAGGCTTGTCTATAAACCTTAAGCCTCAGACAGGTAGAGAGCGGCTCAGGCCCAACCCATGCAAGACAACATTTCCATTCAACTAAAACTAGAGATAAAAATGTGATTCGTAATTTGAGAGGGAAAAAGTTTGGTACTGTAGCTGGCAGGGACTTCAGACTGATCAGAGGTTTACAGTCCTCCCTCCTAATGTTCTGTCTCATAAACCTTTTTCCAACCATAAGTGTCCCAGATGTGTTTGATGAAGCATTTAACCTTAAAAGGAAATGAGACAAGGAATCTGTAAACATGCATTTACTCGCACAAACCTTCTGAACTCAATCGCAGCTGGCTTGGATGTACAAGTGCATTTATCCAAAGGCTACATCTGTTTAACAAAAACTTTCGCACACAGACAAGCGTTGATGCCAATTATATTATATTAGCACGCGTGCACACACACACACACACACACACACACACACTGAGGGCACGGTGTCTTTGAAGTGCGTTTGAGAAAGATTTACTGTTCCATATTGACCGCGGATGGTATTTAAGACTCTAAAAGAGATTGGAGTGCCAGTTGAGTTGATGTACTGTGTGTGTGTGTGTGTGTGTGTGTGTGTGTGTGTGTGTGTGTGTGTGTGTAAATAATTTGTGCATGTGTGCCAAATATGTCAGTCTGATGAGTGTTTTTATGATCTAAACATGCTTTGACCAGTCTGACTGCTTCCACAAACACACAGAAAGGCATGCTGGGACCGGCTTCACTGGAAATTCTTTTAGGATCATACTGACAGTCAGTCAGCCAGCTACAGACAGATACCTGAGAATCTTGGATAACCGTACATAACATGTTGAGCTCCACCCAAGACAACTATTTTGAGATAAAGGGAAAATGAGCATTTGAGTGATATATAGAATTAATTTGCCTTAGGCTGCACCTTGGAACTTTTTACATGTGGATTCATTTCTGTTTTTTAACCTCAGACGTCACTCACAGTAACTGTAATCAAATATTATGTACCATATGAATGCCATGTTTGAGAAATGAAAAATCAAGTGGCTAAATAACTAAAGTGCAACAATGTTTTTGCGTCCGTGGGCTATCTAACAGAACAGATACACTTTTACTTTCAAAGCTGTTTCAGCAACAACAGGACTTTTGTGCAGAGCAGAGCAAAAACCTGTAGGTCATACGCCCTAACACAGGATCATGATTATATTATTCTCACCTAAATCATATACACAGTTGCTTTGGGAACTATTGGCAAATGCTTTATTTTACCTTAAGTCCTCAATCATTCATAATCTCAAGTTATCTGAAAAACCACTTGACCTTTTTTTAAAAAGGTACTCAATTCATTTGGTGTCTCAATGTCTGCTCAATTGACCAACTGATGAATGGTTATTCCTGTGTCCCTCTCCTGCAGTATGAATCTCCCCGGCCTGCGTCCAACACCAACTGGGAGGCCGTCACCATGCTCATGTCGGTGAGTCATGCACATTCGCACTTTATAAATAGTTATATATTAAAATAAAATATAAAAATGTATGATGATCTCAGCCAAAGATATCAGAGATATTTTTTCCGCAAAAAAAAGAGCCATCAAATTAGCCATTTAAAATACAAATACATATATTGGTATAAATGTGTCTTTAGTAGTTATATAAAACATAAAAATAAATGTACAGCTAGGAAAATCTTATCACCATCTTCAGTGTTTTTTGAAGACCTTTAATTCCTTTGTTCCAAACTACGTTTTGATAACTGCATATACCATTATAGAAAAAATAATGTGATATTTCAAAACCAACAGCCAACCTGCCTTCCAACCATGTCAGCTCACATATAAGTGTGTTCTTAAGCACAGCAGGGAACAATGGCTACACTAATGAATATGACAAATGGGCCATTTGCATAGGCTAACCCACACAGAATGCATTCATGCATTTATATACTTGAGCATGAAGCCTAAGATTTAAAATGGCATGCTTCTATAGTCTAATGTTTTTATACATCAGTGTAATCTGTGTGTGTTCGTGTATAAGAGTAGTGGGGTTCAGTGACATATGTGACCGTAATAATTAGTATGCGTTGGGCGTTTTTCTGCATGGATTGATGATGGTTAAATGTGTGTGTGGGTGTATGTTTTCCATGGTTATGTATGTCACTGCCAGTAGAGATGGGAGTCAAATGTAGTCTCCTCCATTTTATATTCAAATGGCCCTGAACTAATTTGTAATCATGAGTTTCTCCCTGGGATTTGTGATAATTTTACATGAGGGTTCCTGGTTTTTCCTTAAATCAGAAAATACAAATAGCGATATATTCATTTTTTCATCTCTTCACCTCTCATTGGTTTTCAAAATTCCTGACTCATAATGTAAAACAAACAAAAACATTTACAATTTATAGTGGAAATAAAAAATAAAAAATTGTATCAGATGGCAATATTTCGTTTATTTGAAAAATAATCTAATTGAGCATTTGACTTGTCTTATGTGGTGCCATAACAGGGTTTACATACACACATTTATTGCAAACAATATCATAAAACGTTGATTTCAATGTATACTTATTAATGTATTGAACTTAGCTCTTACAATAAATGTTAACTTTGAAACTAAGTGTGAAGCTGACAATTGAGCAGCCCGACCAAGCAAGGAGGCAGAGGCAGAACGTCCAAAATACAACCCGGTGTGGGCATTTATTAAATCATAAATATATGACACAGCCTCAATCTGCTGCCCACGTGAACACAGTCACCAGCCACCACAAGGATCTCACACACACTACCAGCCTCTAACAAGAAAACGGCACCTAAATACACACACACAGACTAACAAGACACAGGTGAGGGGGGGAGCAATTAGACACAGGTGGGGGGGAGGAGACAACACAGGGCACCAGGTGCACACAATCCAGCAACAGACAAGGGGAAAGGGGAACACTTTTCAGAATAAAACCAGGAAAGAGAGACAGACAAACTAGTTACATCAATTACATATATTCCCATGCTTCCTGTGCAATGTTTTTAGTGCTATATTACCCGTAACGGAGGCCGAGATCTACGGGCCCAGAGATCACCTCCGTAACACTAAGTCTTAGTAAACTTCAGTTTTCATGTTAGTCTCCATCTCAGCTGCATCTCTGTGTATACAGCTGCTGCGTGAGTTGTCCCCTCGCTGTCCAGTAACTTTTAAATGAGGTCACACTTTATTTCTATAAGCATAATAATGGTGGAACAAACTAACACATTTCAAGGAGCTTTTGACACATAGCTCATGTGCTGTTGGTATTAATGTATGAATGAACAATTGCTGAAGTAAGAATGTGCCTAAATGAATATTATAACTGGTCATTTTGTCTTTGACTTTTGTTATCTGCAGGACAATGCTGAAGGGCAGATGCCAGTGGCAGTCACCGAGGTTCCATTCTCATTGGAGGATTTGGACCGGACCATTGCTGCCTTTGAAACCGTAGAGCAGCTGTTCAGGTCGCTCAGCCCAGACACCTGGAGACAGGACCTGGACAGCATCTACACTCAAACACACATACACTATAGATCCAGGGCCTATCATCTGGCAAGCAGACAGAATAAAGGTAAGATATACTTTACATCTCCAAAGTTTATTAGCCATACATTAAACTGTCCAACAAATAAATATAAATAATCTTGAAGAGATTCAGTTTAGACACAATGAAAGCAAACATACACTGTCCTTGCATGACAATAATCAGTTTCACCGTCAATAATATAAGTGCTGACACCAGAATTAGCTGACACATTACAAGATAGTTTAAAAAACCAAACTGAAATTCAACACTATGCAAAAAAGTACACATTTGTTGGATAATATCAAACTATAAACAAATAAAAAGTCAACATTTAAGGAAGGCTTCAGTTCTGCAGCATTTAAATAGTCATACATGTACCATGTCCCTACAATATGTGTACATCCAGCAGATTTGCATATCACCTAGTATACAAAAGATGAAAATGAAAAACTAATTATGTGAAATGTAAAATATTGCCTAAATGGTGAAGTGTAAAAAGGCTGTAAAATGAGTGAATGGAGATAATAACGCAAAATGTGGTTTTTAATGTGATTGAAAATCCCAAAGATAATACCAGGGAGAAAATTGTTCAGACATAAAAATGTAATTTGGGGTTTTAGTTTTTCCCTTGACGAAATGATCATATGCATCAATCTGATTCTCAAGCACATGCAGAGATGTTTTTCTTTGAATGTAATGAGACGTTCAATACAAATCCTGACTACAGGTCCAGTATTCACACATAAAGTCAGTAAAGTTCATGCAGGACGATTAGAGTGGTGTCTTTTGATCCCATTTGATTGTGCTACAGATGGTGATCCTCCACAACTCTGCTGCACTCACAGTATTTCTCTGCAGACTGGTGCAGTCACTGGTACAGTAGCTGGTGTAATAGAGGGGGGGGGGAGAGCGTGATGCCTCGTGCTGTCCAAGGATGAGCCACACAACATGAGGCCCATTCTTACATATTGCGCCTTACATAACACTCAGTGGTACAACATTGCAGCGGACAAAGTTAACGGCTCGGTCATTTTAAAGGGAAGTAAGTCTGGGATGGAGCCATATTACTGCTTTGAGGTGAAACATTTACAGAAATGGAGAAAGACAATTGGCTTAAAAGAACATTCAGATGATTCTGGATGTGAAAGCACTTTTTGAACTTGAAAGGTAGACATATATAAAAGTAAAATGTAAATGTTTGCCCTTTTTCTAGTATTTAGAAATATAAAACATCAATAGTAAAAAAAAAAAGGAAGCAGCTCCTGCTGAGTGGTGATGCAACGACTGTAGCCTGACTACAGTCGTTGCATCATCAAATGAGCAGTTTGCCCTCTCGTGGGTTGAAAAGTGAGTCACTGATTGATTTAAGGTGACACGGAAACAGCGGGTTCAACGCAATTCTGGACCTGGAGTCACTGACGCAATAGATGTTGCCTAGAAATACACAGAGCGGATGTCTTAACACGAATATGCTTATCACACACAGACGTCACACAATCATGGGGCATGAGTGTGTCCAGTAAAATGACTTTTAAACGAGTGCTTTTCACTCCGTCTCTCACCTGTTCCTCCGTATCTCTCTCTCCCTCTTTCTACCCAGTGGCCCTCCTGTACCTTAGTAAACATTTGTGCCTGACAGCAAATCTATTTCTATTTATCAGTGCATGCTTGTGCTGGCAGGCATTAAAAGCTCTATATATTGGGAGTTTGTGCGTGCTGCAGCACTACAGAAAGGTGCATATGGTACAGTAGGTGCTGCAGGTATTTCATCCACGGTACGACGTAGCTTTCTCTAATTGGAAATTCAACCTGTGCAGCGAAGCAGAAATGTGCCTCAGTCAGCAGCTTAGCTTTGTTTTCATTAGGAGACACACACTCAGTAGCTCACGCCCACCTTTGTTCCCATGAAGGACAGTAAGCCTTATTATAATATAAATTGGGATACTTTTAAGTCCAAGTAACTAACACATATATAATTGATGAACAATAATAACACAAACCCTTGTCGACAACTTTAGGGCAGAAACTTATTTGATCATTTTCCCTTTTTCATGTTGGTTGCTGTTTGAACAACATGGCACTTTCTGCAGTCGTGCTTTCTCTGGGTCTTGCTGTCCCTGTCTGTCGTTTCTCCTCCACACGCTGACAGGGTTCCACGCCACTGCCTTTCTGAGATTACACTTATTCCCCTTAAAGAGACACAAGCTCGGCCATGCAAGCGCAGGAACACGAACAGTATACACCCCAACACATTCAGGCATGACGTGTGCCTTTGTCTTCACTGATACAGCGTAAAAATGCATTACACACACACACACACACACACACACACACACACACACACACACACACACACACACACACACACACACACACACACACACACACACACACACACACACACACATATATTTTTCACAACAAAGGAAAAAGCAGCAAACAAAAATCTAAAATTTGTTTTTGAGACAAAGTATTTAGCTCCTCCTGCATTTGCTGTATTTTGAAGAAAAANCAGTGGTGTAGTTAATAAAACATAATAATATCAAACATAATATGACTATTAACTTTATTGTGAAATTAAAACAGAACGGTAAAGAAAAATACAGTTTCAATCTCGATTTGAAGCTTATGCATTGTACCATGAACCTGTATATACCTGTAACAGTCAACTGCATGAGGAGTTGGAAAGGTAGTAAATAATATCTTTAAAAACTACAACAAAATCCCTTTCTATCAGCTGTGCACCCTTATGGTCTACCGATTGGATCAAATATAAAAGTCAGCCGAATTAGTGTTGATACTGTAAGGAGACTTATTGTGTGAAAATAAATGGAAGATGTTGTTTAATTGCTAATATATTTATGATCCACGTCACGTATTCAGTTTTGGCTGCATTTCTTACAGTTTGTCAAAAGGTCTTCTGATCAGGGCTCTATAAATAAATATCTACGGCAGATATGTAATATTTAATGCAGCCGAACCGTGTATTACAATGCCGTTATGTGATGACTTCCAAAGAGAAAAGCAAGAACACTCGGAATAAAGTATTATTTTAAAAAGATGTTTTTCCGATTTCATATCGGATAAACACCATATCCCGACATGCATTGCGGCGATGTTTTAGCCTATCAAAACCTCTGTAAAAAGAAAGGTGTCTCTCAGAATCGAAAGAGAAAAACCTATGGGAAAAACACAAAAGCATTGTGCACAATTTAAACCAATAAATGTCGTATAATTAACAAGGATAAACTGATGTTTTTTAGTTGATGAGTACTGCAGATATCACTGTTAAATCATTTGATCATTGGTTTTATTATGAAAACGTTGAGACCGGAAATACTGTTTTCACCCCGTAACTTTACATGGAGGCTGTCGCATACCTCAAATCATCTTCGTAATATCTATCAAACTATAGGTCCTACATATCGACTGGACGTGGATTCTAAAAGTACAATATACACTTCTCGCTAGAAATCTAATCAAAAAGCGTTTTAATGCCCAAACTATCCAACAATTTAGGGTTTTACAGAAAGGGTTACTTGTGAATAAACAACCATCTGTAACGTTAGCATTCAACGGGAACACTAGAGGGTGAATACTTTAAAACGTAATTATAGGACGTATTAAGCGATTGAACAAACGACATATTTGGTCGTAATAAGGGCCTGAACAATCGGCCCATTTGGTCGTATGAGTTGGAGGACTTGTTGGAAAAGCACGGTGATCAAGGGCTTAAAATCAACCATTCATGTTGACTAATGACTCTACTCACAATCCACCAATGTTTTGTTATGTTTTTCTTAAACTTAACACTAATCAAGTTTATTGTGATAGACATAATGTGGCTCACGCCTATATTGATTGTGTGTTACTATGTCATCAAGCTGTTTTGAGTCCTAATGGGATCCTCCTAGAAAAAGTCTCTAGAGTTTATTTGCAGAACAAACCGGGATCAGGAATACCTATATCACGGTTAACGTAAACTTTATTCCTCTAATCAGCAAATGAGCAACTTCACAGCGATAAACAATGCTGTGTTTTCACATAAATAATTCCTTATTATTGGAATGTATGCAGAAGTCACTACCGAATATAAAATCATGTTGTTTAGAGTTTCCAATTCAGAGACGGATGCATTTTGTTATCAAAAAATGCTGCCATTTTGCATAACTTATATATGTATTGTTCTATCCACAGATGAAAGTAAACATCTTAAAGCTTAGAGGTTTAACTAGTATTGTAGAATCGCAAAATAACTTTTACAATGGCATTGTGTGATCACCACCCATTTTTTCCCATATTATTTATGCCCTCTAATTTATTTTCTGTCTCCAGAAACCCATTTCTCTTTTAAACCACCTGAGCAACAATATGTAATTCTGCTGATATAGTTAGTGGTCTCTAATGACAATACTAGTGTAACATAGAACCAGGACATATTTGAATCAAGATTATGGTTCAGGAGCTCCTGCTTTCCCCTCTAGACTGGAGTGGAGTCTCATAATTCCCTTCAGCTTGTCCTGTAATCCTTTCGGTTCTCTTGAAATTAGTTTTGCACCATTACAGGAGGCCAATGAACAAAGGTCCACACACACAGAGTCATTTTCTCCAAAGTGGTGACAGGAAGACTGCGGTCAATACATTCAATGTACTGTACAATCAATTAATGACCCCTGCGTCCTTCTATGGCTTATGTTCTCTCTTCCTGCATCTTTGTGTCTGTCTTCTCTCTATCTGTTCCTGAGCAGTCAATTTCTGTTGCAATTGTACTCGTATCTAAAAACTATCCCCCCGCCTTTCAACCATTTTCATTCAATCAATGCAGGCCATATTTTCTACAAGAATTGCTGCTACTTTGCTTTTCTCATCCCTATAATCCTTCCATCTCTTGCTCCATTATGTCACACATTTGTATTATTGAAGATGCTAAGCAATTGGCAACCAGGAATGAAATCAAAATGGCTTTTTGTCTCCTTCACACTTCCTTTTAGTGGACTCCAAAACAGACACATCAAAAGGGAAACTTAATAAACAAAAACTGAACTAATTGCCTTATCTGCTCTCTTTTTCTGACGCACTGTCCAGTTGATCTGAACCGCCTTTATGACGACGTCAAGCGCTACAGCTGTACGCCTCGGAATTACTCGGTGAACCTGAGAGAGGAGCTGAGGGCCACCAACGCCGTCTTCTTCCCCCGATGTCTGCTGCTCAAACGCTGTGGAGGCAACTGTGGCTGCGGAACGGAGAACTGGAACAACGGCTGTACCTGTCAGGCCTCCAAGACGACTCTCAAACTACACGAGGTAGACACACACACACACTCACTCACACACTTCTGTCTTGTGTCCTGGGGTATTTGGTACACGGTGTGCGAAAGGAAGCATCATCAAATTCTCCAGCAGAAAATTGGAAAGTAATGAAATGATAAATGAAATAACATTACCAGTGATTCTGTAGCTGCTTTCATAATTAAACAACATTGTGAGCATGGTGGATCCCTGACCTTGCTGAAGCATAGGAAAAAAGTACAAGATGTTAGGCTGTGACCTTTGCTAATTCATATTTGCTGACAAGAACATGGTTAGGATGCATGATGATTATTCCCTTTTTTATCCTTCGCCTTGATAGGGAAAAATAACCTCTGGTCAACTGATCTGGAATGAGAGCATTAATTCAGTCAAACAGCTTTGCTTTTACAGGAGGTAGTTATTTTTTGCTTTAGATAGCACTCCCAAAGTCTGTATGCTAGTGTGAGCTGAGGCCCTTTCATTAATGTGACAGTTTATAGTTGATCTGTGCTGGAAGCGTTACAGAAAAGTGATGCGTGGGCTTTTTCCAACATGAGCCTTACATGTGACATTTCTGGCACATTTTAGGTGTACTTGAAAGGGGCTAAAAAGATGGTGTGAGAGTTAGTGAGTGAGAAGGAGAGAGATGTTGGGTGTGCAAAGGAAGGCGCTGCATCAACAATGAAGCAGCAATGCACCAGAAGCCTCACAAATTCTCTCTCCAATCTCTCTCATTGCATTGTTAGCATTGTATCACTCTGTCTGTCTCTCTAGACTGCCATCATCCTTTCATTTTCCCCAATTCCCATTTTCAATGTATCCCTTTGCAATGCACCATTATTGTTCTTTAAGCCTGTCATTCATTCTTTTCTCACTCTTCCCTCCATCTCTTTGTGTCTTTGTTCTTGTATAGCTTCATTATTGAAACATGGTCCGCAGGGTTTCTCTCTCTCTGTCTCTCTCTCCCTTGCTGTCCTTACTAAATAAATGTAGACAAAAGTGGGATTCGGGTTGTAATTGTATGTGTATGTAAGCCGGTGTGTATGTAAGCGTTGAAAATATAGTGTTTTGTATATATTGTACATGCGGAAAATAGCTTACAAGTTTTCATGTGTGTGTGGTTTTGTGTTCTTGTGTGTGTTTGTAAGAGATTTCCGTCCTACTTTCCTCTCCCCTTGTAGGCTGTTAGACCTGTACCTGCTTCCTTCACTGACTTCACTTCTTAAGGAACACATTATTACTCACACTATTGTTTCAGTGCCGGGAAGCCCTGACATAAATCATGGGCAGTTTTGCTTTCACTGAGCTTTGGAGAACAAATTGACTGCATCAGTTGTGGAACAATTTGTACTTCTAGCCAACAATCTACAACACAGTCAGTAAGAGGGAAACACCGACTTATTCCAACTATAAAATCAACTCCCTCCCTAGTACTTATAACCTCTAATATTTTTTATGAAAATGTCAACTTTTTTGATATAATGTAAAACAGCAAACTGTTTGTCTGTTTTTATCTGTGATTGCTGTGCACACTGTACATATGTTTGGTGTGTTATCTGAGATACTGCAAACCATTTTCTATTTCACAATCAGCACGGTTCCTTGGCAACCTGTCCTGCATTTTCTCCCAATGGGAACAAGTCCAAGTTTCCCTGATAAAAATATGAAGGAATGAATGTTGAAATAGTACAGTGTGGTGATTTATGATTAACAAGATAAAGGGTGGATGTGTAATTGTTGTCTCCTGGCCGCCACTGTTTCACAGTACAACAATGCACTTTAGAAACCTTGCCTGCTATCTAATCTGTATTTTACTTGCTTCAGTATGAAGTTATTTGTTCTTATTTTCATCAGCATTTCTCATGTCCTTCACTTTTTCAAATTGGATTTTTTTGGCGTCAGCTACAATGAGCTGATAAGTATTGTCAACACCTACCCACAGACCCCTTCCCGTAACACTAACCCTCCAGGCAAAAGTAAATCAATGTTATCACCGCCCCTCTTCATCCTTGCTCTCTTATCCCACTCCTGTAGGTGCTGAAGTACGCCCCAGAGGTCAGTCTGCATCAGCGCCATCGGAGGCCGGTGAAGGTGCGCTGGGTCATAGATGAGATCTTCCTCACACACCATGAAAAGTGTGAGTGTGCGTGTCCCTCCCAGCCCCCCCGCTGAGACACCCAGCCTGGGAGGAGCATCAGGAAATGATGGACAAGTTTCTTTTTTATACATGTTTTGCAAACGGACTACTTATAATTACAGCAACGCAGACACACATGCAGCAAAGAAGAAGGCAACAATCTGACAAACGCTGCTCGCATCGTACACAGGGACAGTTGTTCGTGCATGTACAGTTAATGCATTTACAGCCACATTTGTAAATGTTAAGACACATATGTTCTTATTTAAATTTCCTGGAACTTGGAGTCTTAAGTTTTCCCTATTGTTCCCTCAAAAAAATGTATACAGAATAAATACCATACCAAACTATGTGAGAATACACCAACACCGCATCAAATTTACATTCTGATTTACGAGTTTAAAAGATGCAAATGTGAATTTAAATGTAACTGTATGCAACTGCTGTGTTAACAGTATTCATTCCTGTTTCATGTTTATGTGTTTGCATTTCTGCTTGATATCAAAAGGGTATTTGCAGAAACTTCAATCCCTCTGCCAGGAGCATGCTGAGATGAGTGAGCGTAAGACAGAAGGAGGGAGGGAGAAGGGTTGGAGGAAGCGTAAACTAAAATAACACTTTATCTCAATGTGAAATAAGGCTAACCACAACCCTCCAGAACCTACTTGCACACCAGCACACATTCACACTCCAGGCAAAAGTATATTAGCTTTACTGAATTCTTCACATTTCTTGCTTTTTTTGTGCATACATTCCTGACTGCATACATTCAGGCTTCTCTTTGTCTGTCCTTCCATCCATAGGCTCTCTGCTCCTCGTGTTTCTTTCTCCCCGACTCCATGCACACACACTTTCTCTCCCTTCATCACTCACTTTCACAACACATCAAAAGAGATGTCAGATGAAGCTGTTGCGCTTTGCCTACTTTTCTATGCGTTCCTGGCATTCCCACTGCTAACCGGAATTCTGCTAACACGAATAAAACCATGATCCTCAAGCTCTGAAAACATGAGGGGAAAAAGCTATTTTTTTTAAGGAGAGGCTGCTCACAGAAAATAGACAATCAAGCCAGCTATTTGTAGATTACCAGCACTTCTAGATGAGAGATGAGAGCGGAGCCACTTTGCAGATGCAATATAAAAGATTGCAGCTACTCTAGGCGTTTCAATCAGCATGTTTATATATTCAGCTAGCCTGATTTTTTTTTGTCAAACTGCTTTTTACCTTCTCGCAAAGATGCTAACATGTATCAACCAACTCTGCAGCGGCACCACAGTGAAAAAGATCTGTGGGAATTAGACTAATGTTCTTGGTCTCTGCTGAAAATATAAATTGAGTGTGGTGGTGAGAGAGAGGGCTGTGTGTTACCGCTCAGGAAGAGGTCCTTTTGTTTAAAGGGTGGGGGGGTTACCAACAGTCTGCGAAAGCTGGCAGCCGATACAACCAGGGGAATGGTGAGCATGTGACCGTGCTCGCAAGTGCATATGTGAGTGTGTGCAGGTAGCTGGAGTATCAAAGTAATAGAGCAAGAATTCAAAGTAACTGCTTATCATTTCCAAACACATGATCCAGCTGTGCGGAATCAAACACAGCAGCGTTAGTCATCTCTCCATCATCACC